TCAAGGCCAGGCGGAACTGCACAGCGAGACGCTGTCTCAAAAAGAAAAAGAAAAAAAAACCTTCTGGAAACCACGTCTCCCTCGGAAATAAGAGCCCTGGGAAATAAGGCAAGAGGGTGCAAAGTCAAGCCCAGCCCGGGCAGCTCGGTAGCTTAGTAAGACTTTCAAAATTTAAAAAATAAAAATTAAAAAACGAGTGGGGGCGAGGGAGTAGATCAACCTGAAGGTCCTGAGTTCAAGCTCCGAACCCAAAAACCACTTCGGGGAGCTGCGAAGCGGGTCCGGCGCCTCCTGGTGACCCGGACGTCGCTGTACAACGGCGAGCGCCGCTCACTACATTCCCGGGCTCCTGAATCACATCTTCCTAATCATTTTTATGCAAATTTCGTTCTTTCTTTGTGGGGTTTTTTTCTTATTTTTGTTTTTCCTCTTTTGGTCACCAATAGCGTATCAATCTTGTTTTTGTTTTCCTAAATGTGGACTTTTTTATTTTTTGGCGATACCAGGGCTTGAACCGAGCCCCTTGACACTGACCCATTTTTTTTTCTTTGTCCTTTTGAGACAGGGTCTCCCTACGCAGTGCAGGCTGGCCTTGAGCTCACTTTGTAGCCCAGGCTGGTCTCGAACTCTCAACGATCCTCCTGCCTCAGCTTCCCGAGTGCTGGGATAACAGACGTGCGCCACCACACCCGGCTACACACTGAGCTACTTTTCCTCAGCGCTTTTTTACTTTTCGTTTGTTCTGTTCTGTTGAGACCAGCTTGCTAAACTGTCTAGGCTGGGCTTGAACTGGAGGCCCTCCTGCCTCGGCCTCTCCAAGGGCTGGGGTTGCAGGTGTGGATGCGGCGGAGCAGAGACCCAGGCCGGCTGGGCCCGGGCCGCAGGGAAGTGGGGATGCGAGCGGCTGGGGGTTTCCTGGGCAGGGTGTGGGCAGCGCCCCGAACCCAGCCGGGCCGTCTGGGTTCGCGCCTGAGGCCGGCGACTATGTGGTCACGCATTTCTGTTCCAGTAAGAAGCGGGTGAATGGGAAAATCGTGAACCCGAGCCAGGCCCGACTCTGCACACCTGTAGCCCCCGAGACCCAGGAGGCTGAGGCAGGAGGATTCCAAGTTTGAGCCCAGCCTGGGCAACTAAGTGACTTAGTGAGACCCTGTTTTTAAATAAAAAATAAAAAGAGCTGGATGTAGCTCAGTGGTAAGGCCCCGAGTTCAATTCCCAGTACCTCAAATAAATAAATAATTTTTATTTTCCCTTTTTTTGGGGGGGGGATTGAACCCAGCGCCTCATGCATGCTAGGCAAGTAAGTGCTCCACCTCCGAGCTGCCCCCTGACCCTTTTTATTTTATCTTAAACAAGGAAGCTTCCCGGGCAGGCCTCGAACTTGCGATGTTCCTGCCTCGGCCTCCCAAGCAGCTGCAGTTACAGCCGTTGGTCAGCACTTGGGCTGCACGGAGCTTTGCTCCAAGGAGCTGGTGAGACGCTTCTTCCAGCGCCGCGCACAGGCCGGGAAGGGAAAGCCGCGGGGCAGGGACGCTGGGGGCCCCGCGGCGCCGCGACTCTCGGGTGAAGCTCGGGAGCGGCGTCCTGGTCGTCATGGCTACGGAGCCGGGTGCGCAGGCAGGGACCCGCTCACCTGGCTTGGGGCGCCCCCGTGCGGCCACGACGGGAACACGCGCCTCCGCCCACCGCCTTCGAATGAAAATCCTGGGAGAATTCCTGAAGTCAGGCCCAGCACTCGGGACGCTGACGCAGGAGGATCGCTGCGCGTTCCAGGCCAGCCTGAGCTACATAGCGAGGCGGTGTCTCAAAAAATAAATATAAAAATAATAAACGAGGTTTCTGGCCCGACCAGAACGAAACACCAACACCGCGCCAGGGTCACTGCGCCCGGCGTCAGCAGGGGAGCTCGGAGTTCGGAGCTGAACATAATCCAGAAGCCCAGGAGCCCTCTCGCGCCCGCGGCAGCGGCTCTGAAAACGCCCGGCACAGCAAAGTTGACGCCACAGCTCGGTGTCTGCCCTCGCCAGCGCTAGCTGGCGGCAGCTCTTCAGTATCGCGGGGAGCCGGGAAGGCGGCCCTAAACCACGCCGGGAACGCTCGTGGGACACACCTCTCCCAAGCGATCAATTCTCACCGCTGCTTCAGCCAGCTTTGCAAAGATGCCCACACCTTTGACCACAACAAAAAGTGCAGCAGGTAGTAACCGTTAAAAGCACAAGATCTAGCCAGGCAGGTGATCCCGGCACTCCGGGAGGCTGAGGCAGGAGGATCGCAAATTCAAACCCAGCCTGGGCCACTTAATGACTTAGACCTTGTCTCAAAATTAAGTAAATAAGGGCTGGGGATAGCTCAGTGCAAAGTTCCTGAGTCCTGGGTTCAATCTCCAGTACCCCAAAACATGTGGGGAGTAAACAGCACGGAAGGCTGAGAACATAGCTCAACGGCAAAAACAGTTAACCCGAATTCCTGCACACGCCGTGACCCTGGGGAGAGCTGGGTGCCGTGGGACAGCGTCGCCCCCCACCACCACTGCCGCAGCGCCGCGCGCAGCACGTGGCCCTTGGGGTCCCGGTTCCCAAGCAACTTTCCCTCCCGCCCTCTGCACGTCCTGCTTCTGTCGGCCCCCGGCAGAAGTGCGCATTCCCCCTTCAAAAAATGAATGAAGTGCTCCCCAAATCCACCTGCTGCTGGCACACCTCATACTTTTGTATATAATGAGTCCAGATGCACCTACAATGGAAGGATAAATCAAAAACTAATTTTACAGAATGGTTACTTTATAGCAGGCAGCCACAGACGAACGGTAAGCCAGGCCTCTCTAAATACACCTGGTTTCCTTTTCGACCTTGTAGCTATGTAAATATTTTAAATAAAATTACATTTAAATGAGGAAAAACTTGGGAGGCTGAGGCAGGAAGATTGCCGTGAGCTGAAGGCCAGCCTGAACTGCAGTGAGACCCTGTCAAAAAAAAAAAAAAAAAAAAAAAATTGCTGACACGAGCCAGTGATGAACTTCGGGGCTCTCGGGACCGCAGAGACCCAGGTTCCCAGGGGACCTGGCCGGGACCCACTGGTTTTGCAATCTGGGACGCTCCCAGTAACCTGCACTCCTACCAAGTTCACAGTGATGATCTGCCGGTCTGGAGCCTCAATTTGCAACCCACTACTGTAGACTCAGACGATAAGAAACTTAGAAGCGTCATTTGGTCAGCTAGGGTCACCGACTTTGTTATATACACCAGGAAAAGGAAGACATATCTTACTACTAAATCCACAGAGACATCTTGAGATCCACACAAGTGCCCTTTGGCCTCTGCAGCTACAAGGGTGCTCCGAGCAGCGGCCGCTTTCTGCACACGCGTTGCCACGGCGAACTGCTGAGGTGTGTACATTATTCTGGCAGAGTGGACAGTAGGAGAAAGCGGGTAATCATGTGAACACTGGAAGTCAGCTTTTCAGATAATCAGATATAAAATCAAAGTAAAAGCTCAAAACACTGGAATTGGAAATAGGTTTTTCTTTTCCCTTAAAGCAGCATTTAGGACATCGAAATGGCCCAAGAGCTCAAGGGACCCGGCAGGAAGAGCCCCCACCTCTAGGTTACCGTTTCCAAGAAGCAGCCCCGGGGAGTAAGTTTGGGCAGGCAGGGGCAGCCCAAGGTGAGGTCGGAGCACCGGGCCGACACACAAGAGTCGCCTGGACCGTGTCCAGCCTGTGATGAGGGGCCCGCAAGGTCAGAACCAGAAGCTGAGGCTCACTCGCTCGCTCAGGAGCCGGTGCTGCGGGACCCAGGCGTCGACTTGGCCTTCTCAGCGCTGGGAAACCAGAGGCGCAGGGGCGATCAACACTGACCCCCTCCCGGAGTCACTGGGTCACGGGCGCGGCTCTACAGGACGTCCGCAAGCACAGGAGGAAGGGTGGACACTGGTTAATCTTCTTCTGCAGCCTCTGCTCAGCGTAACTGCCGTGCGCTGCTTCGGGTTCCGATAGTCTGGCTGTTATCTGTGTATGATGGGCAGCTTTGGGCGACAGTACAGTCAACTACGGGGGAGGGGCATTTGCGATGTGTTGTGTATGTGCACCAATTCCCCGCGGAACGAACCTAATCATTACGCACTGCAAACGTGCAGTCATGAAAATAAGAAGATAAAAAAGCTCCTTGCCCAACATTCCGGGACAGGGCGCCCCAGCCCTCGCGGCAGGTGGACACCGGCCGGGGACCCGAGCTGGGGCGCGCGCCCCCTGCAGGCTAACCGGCAGCGTTACACGCAACACGGTCTGCAGACACTAGTCAGCAAAGCACAGGTAGGGCAAGCCTGAGGACTCTACGGACGAACGGCCCGGCCTCTCCCAACGTTATAAATCGCAATAGCGGGGCCGCGAGAGTAAGGAGGCTAAAAACCCCACCCGCTGACTGCACAGAGTAGATCTGGTTCAGCACCCAAAGCCACCAGGTCTAGCAAGCTCATGTAAAATGTCTTTTTGAGGCAGGGTCTAACTATACAGTCCAGGTGTCCTAGTGCTAGGATCCCAGATGTGGGCCGCCACCCTTAACCAAGTGTTTTCTGTTGTTTTGGGGTTTTTTTGAGGCAGGACCTAATGCTGTAGCACTCAAGGCTGGCCACGAACTCACAGCGACCCTCCTGCCTCAGCCTCCCAAGTGCTGGGTTAGAGGCATGCACCACCGCCGTTGGCCAAAAAGTCACTTTTGACCTGTACAACTACGAGGTACAGGGCCTGGCAAGAGCTGGAGCAGTGTCCCTCGGGAGCTGAGGCACTGGACAGCGCTGTTCTGGGGAGAACGCTCCCCGAAGCATTACTCTAGTGGTGAGATCGACTCCTGTCTGAGATCTGCTCTGCTGTGCTCAGGGGAGGGGTCAGAGCCTGGCAAACAAGAACAGGGGGCTTCACCCCGTAACCTACTATTGTGTATGTTTAAAGCCACGTTTATGAAGTTCAATGAAATCAGGACCCAGGAAAGCAATAAAAACAAACCAAGATTGCAAAACACCAAATCTATATTTACATCCACATATAATAACATAACTTTAAGCTGAAATATATCATAAATAAAATAAGTAATGTCTACTGTTGGACAAGTAACAATTAAAATAAATCAAACTGGAATGAAATAAATACATAAACAAAAATTCAACAAATTGTACCTCTAATGAATGTACTGTTGTCTCAAAGGAAAAAATACAAAAGCAGTAGTATTCCAATAGTTAATACTGATGGACAAAAAACATACTTTGAAGTACAAAGGGCTGTTTAAAAGTTGCTATCTTTATGCAGTCAGAAATGCTGTTGGAAAGGAGATACAAAAGCCCAGAACATTTCAGCGTAACACAAATTGATTTGTTTTCACATAGATTTGGTGATTTTTTTTTTTTAAATACAGGTTTAAATCTCAGCCTGTTATCGCAAACCATTTTTTTAAGATTTACATTTACATCACAGCAAGCTTTCTGTAACACTCACTGGATTAGGCCGAGACTCAATCAATCATTTCGCAAATGTGTTAATCTTCAAAAATAGGCTATAAAAAGTGCAAAACTATGAAAACACAAGTCTAGACTATGTACATATGGCTCAGCTTGTGGGCAGGAGAGCAGGGACTAGTGTGCGCTTTCCCGACCCGAAGCACTGCCCGCAGGGCCGGCTGTCTCAGAGGCGGCCCCTACACACAGGAGTTCAGACTTCGGTCTCACCAAGGACACCTCGTGCTGCATAATGGAAAGAAAACTCGGGCTTCTTTGAGCACTTCGCCCTCCGTGGAGGGGCAGGGCAGGAAAGAAGAGCAGTGCAAATTTATTTCTGAAAGTTTCTTCATAAAATATTCTGTGGTTGCTAAACCCGTGAGCTGCCGGATAAACTCGGCCAAGGACGCACATTAAACAAACACAAGTCTAAAACACCAAGCGGGCCTCGTCTAAAACCCAAACTGCTGTGGGCTGGGCAAAGGCCACTGCTGCCCTGCGGGTGGAAGCGGGCAAGGCGGCGAGGCCCAGGGCGGCTTCTCCCCCCAGCCGCCAGGCCCGGCGGCTCCGCTGCAGGATCAAGGTGTCCTCCCTCGGCTGGAGGACGCCCGCCGGCCAACGCCAGCCACACCGCGCTCAGACCTCCCGTTCCCTCTCAGACTGCTTCCCAGGGTCTGATTCACACGTGTAATTTATCATTTTCATAGATTAATGTAGCTCACACTCCCACAGAAGTGAATTTCCCAACAGAAGTGATTGAAACAAATGGAAGTGGCTCTGCAGAGGAAACGCCGCTCCGCGCACCGTGGAAGCCCAGTGGCCGTGGCCGTGTCACGGGGACGTGAAGCGCGTGTCTGCCCCGGTGCGGCACGAGGGTGCTTGGTCTGAGTAGTGACCTCAGACCGAGTTGACACTCTTTGTTAAGACGACAGACGCCGGAGGATTCCACATAATACAGATCACAGAGAATTTTTAAAAAAACATACATTTTTAAATGAATGAGCACAAATAGCAGAAACTGCTACAAGTGTGGAGCTCCACTAGGGAAAAGGAATACACACAGTATTTGAACAAGCAGGTTTACAACTTAGATATTTACAGATTTTTACCTGAGGTGCAAGCGTTATATACTTTCCCCACCCACCCGCCCCGCCCCCAGTGATTTCTTTTCAGCAGCGCTCAAGTATGCAGAAACTCCACTTATTTGGTCAATTCTAAAAAAAATATTATTCGGGGACAAAACAGACTCCCGGTCCCCATCTGTGGACAGCCAACCGGTCCAACTAGGTTTTACTGCTGTTTGGTACAAAGTTAACAGAACGACTTCCCAGAACTGTAGTGTTCCCTCCACGCCCCTCTCGTGTCCATGTACAGTACAGTCACAGCTTATTTCAGTAGCTTTCACCGTTTACTTCCTCAAGGGATGAACCAAAACTCATTTCATGGACAGTACGCACTTCCATCCGGCAACACCTAAGGGGACAAGAGGGGCAGAACGTGAGGAAGGTCGAGGCTGCGCTTCAGAGAACTTTAAGTACAATGAATGAACAGGTGGAACCAACTAATGGGGACCTAACGTCAGCGCACTCTGCTGTAAGCCCAGGTTACAAACGAAGCATCAGGAAACCACGGCGGAGACAACGCTGTACCGCTGGGCTGGGATCCCAGCACTAGGGAAGCTGAGGCAGGAGGGTCGCTGTGAGTGCAAGGCCAGCCTGGGCTATAGTGAGACCTTGTCTCGAAACCTTGTCTCAGAAAAAAAAAAAAGGTAGAACGGCAGCCTCTGCAGCACAACGCACACGCACTCGCACACGCAGAAGAGCACACGTGCGGACGCCTCCAGTTGCCGGCGAAGATTTGCTACGATTCATGAACAGGTGCCAAGTATCAGAAAGCAGCTGTCCGAGCGCAGGCAGCGGCCCGGAGGTCAGGAGCCACCGCTGGGACCCGGGCCACGTGCTCGGCAAGCTACCTGGCACTGATAACGGGGCGTTTTCTGCAGAGCTGGGGACCGAACCCAGGACCTCGAGGGTGCCAGGCAAGGGCTACCGCTGAGCTGCACCCCTAACCTGCTCTTCCTAATTGGGGTTTGTTTTTGTTTTGTTTTTCGGTTTTTTGGTATTTGTGAGCCAGGGTCTCACTATGCAGCCCAGGCTGGCCTCCAACTCAAAGTGACCCTCCCTCCTCAGCCTCCCAGCGCTGGGACTTGGGGCATGGGCCACCATGGACAGCTTTCTTTGTTGCGAAGGGGCCTTGCTGTGCAGCCCAGGCTGGCCCCAGGAGGTATCCTGCCTCAGCCTCAGTGCTGAGATTACACGCATGCGTCCCACACCCAGGCTTTGGTTTGGTCTTGTGACAGGCCTCATTCCACAGCCCCAGCTAGCCAAAATGAAATTGTCCTGCTTCAGCCTCCTAAGTACTGGGGTTACAGGCACAGACAACACAGCCAGCTGGCTTCTGTTTTCGGGCAGAGCGGGTTAAGTCTCAGCCCTGCGACAACACCACTGACTCGCCCTCACCCTACTCCTGTCATCTGAAAGAAAGGAAGGCTGACGCTGCCCAGGAAGGAGCACTTCTGCCCTGACGTGTTCCGCACATCCTGCCCAGGCCGCAAGCACCTTCTCATCTCCGCACCCTGGACCCAGCAGGCACTTGCCGGAGACGCCTAAGGACACTACTTTCCCCTCTGTAGAAGGTCTGTTGTACCTGTTTCCTGTTATCTATCTTCTACTATTCCCTTTAAATTACTTATACTTTTGTTTTTTTTTTTTATACTTTCATTTTCTCACATGAGAGAAACCATTAATAGTTAACCTTCTGTGGCTGATTTATTTCACTTAGCATTATGGTCTCTGAGGCATCTGTTTTCCTACAAAATCATCATTTTTTGTTACTTGTTTGCTTTTGAGACAAGGTCTAGCTATGTAGTTCACGCCGGCCTTGTGCTCACTTTATAGCCCAGGCTGGTCTTCACAACTATCCTCCCGCCTCAGCCTCCCCAGTGCTGGGATTACAAGCATGCGCCACCACCCCCAGTCTGAAGTAATCCCAGCACTGTACAGGCTGATAAAGGAGGATCCTTGAGTTCAAGACTAGCCTGGCCTACGAAGTGAGCTCAAGGCCAGCCTGAGCTGCATAGTGAGACCCTCTCAAGAAAGGAAAAAAAAAAAAGGCACTTCGAGGCCTACTCGCTTACTTCAGTTGCCTTGAAGATCATTTTTATTATCATCACTACTGATATCCACAGACCCTGCGTACTATAGCCTAATCTTACAACACCTTTTAAAAAAGCTTAAAGTTAAGAACACTGTTATGCTACACTGGACAGGCTAGATGATTTATTTTCAACTAAGTAAAACTATGCACTGTATTTACTTACAATATATGCTCACCTTTCTTCCCCAATAGGAAATCAAGTTTTTTTGTCATTTGGTCGATAATGCGCGTTCACAATGAAGTTCTCGTAGTTTCTCTTCTGCAGCATGCCGCTGGACAGGTGCTGGTAGGACACGGGCCTCTTTCCTGCTTGGAAGGAAAGCAAGGGCGGTTGAGAGCCAGGTTCCGCACTGCAGCGGGCTGCTACGCGCCGCCGAAATTCCCGCCCCCACTAGCACGGCGGCCCACACCGCCCGGGGATCTGCGCAGGTGCTGCAATTTGTTTTATGAGGTCATTTATTAGCGCAGAATTTTAAGTCACTGAAATTATCTAGCTCGTAGGCTGTCATTAACGAGAGCTTTGAAAGCTCGTTTCAAGGTTCTCCAAAGGAGAAGGGCCGCATAAAACATTTTACACCTGTGTGTAACACAAACCCCGAGCGCATGAGCTTAAGAGGACGAGAGGCCAACAGGGCCGCCTCTCCCAGTAAAGTTGCGCTTCGGATCCGGCTGGGCGGGACACTCTAATCGAGAAACAGCAAAAATTACTATTTCATCACAGTCTAATAAAACCCACTGGCGCGTGGGGAAGCAGCCGTTTCTCGATTCGCTGCCCTCGGCACACCGCGCGGCACCAGGTCCCCTGGACAGCGCCCTCCTGGCAGCCGAGAGGAGCGGGCAGCGGGACGCGGAC